AGCCACATATAGGAGAAGGTCATAAAAAAATCGAGTTATAGTAATATTCGAGTTATCGTACTTCGAGTTATAGCGAATTGACTGTACCAAATATTTGTATGTTGCATCTCTAATTTAGAAGCTGCAATTGCTGTTTATTTTTGAAAATTTAATTTTTTTATTATAACTTTACAGTGTCGAGCATAATCTTGTATCTATTTACAATTTAAAAACTCATTGAAAAAGTTTTTTGCAATAACGGAACCCTATTTGGACAAATTCATAAAAGCGAACCCTGGTTGAAAGAATGTGAGTAATTTTTTCGCAATTTCACGAAAACCGGACCTTTCACAAAATGTCTGGACAGACCCCTGATAAAGATATTCATAAATTGGTTATTTTAAAAATCCTGCTAATTTTTTTTTGGAAAAATAAACAGGCATCGTAAAAAACACAATTAATTCTTACTTATTTTTAATGTAAATTAAATAAAATTTTGTTTGAACATTAAAGGATATATTGAAATTTGATCCATAAGTTTTTTAATGAGCGGGACTAGCATAACAATATCTTGCTTAATTGTTGTATAATATCTAGTTAAACCTAAAAATTCAATTTTAAGAAACAACTGATTATAGTTTTGACAAAATTTTGACCAGCATTTATTTTCTTTCAAACTGGAACTTAATGAACGTGAACTGAGTTAATAATAATTTCTGTTATTATTTTATAATAAATAGTTATTTTATAATAATTTATTAAAAAAATGATTATTAGACGTAACGTCTAATAATCATTTTTTTAATAAATAACTGACTATTATAATTTTTTTAAAATCAGAACTTAGTTGAGAATAAAACAAACTTTATTATACTCCCAATGAAGACAACCGAGCCTGAAATAAATTCCGAGAAAATATTTTGTATTTAAAATACGATTAAGTCTGGAAATGGCTTTCCTGTTAAGAGTATAACCAGTGATAATATGTTCAAGACATCTTTGTTTTGACAAAGTATTGACAATTATTAATTTCCCTGTAAATTGAAACTTAATGAACGGGAGCTGATGTGACAATATTTTTTTTTTAATTATTATATAAAATCTAGTTATACTTAATAATTCAGTTTTTAATAAATTATTATTATATTTCTTTTAATCAGAACTTAGTTGAGAATAAAAACAGACTTATTATACGCCCAATAAAGAACCGAGCCTGCTATAAATTTCGAGAATTTTTTAATGTTGTTTTGTTTTGTTAATACGTTTAAGTTTGGGAAAGGCTTTCCTGTTACAGAGTAGAAAACCAGTGATAATATGTTCGATGCACTTTCTTTTTGACAAAGTATTGACATCTATTATTTTCATATAAACTGGAATTTAATGAACGGAAACTGATAAAACAATATTTTCTATGACTATGATATATCGTAATCTAACCTAATAACTATTTTTATAATAAATAATTGATTCAATCAATTAATTAAATCAAATTGATAATTTATCACAACCCGGTTCAGCTTAGAACACTGAATCGAATAACGCAAACAGTTTTGTCTGTAATAATTTCTTAGAAAATATTTCTCCACCAAAAACAAGCTCAAAGTCTGGAAACAGCTTTCCTGTTAAGAGTATAACGCCAATGATAAAATGTTCCGTATGTCTTTGTTTTGACAAGAATCAACCGTTATCTACCATCCTTTATCATCAACCACATATCATACCCGAAAAAGCCTCTCGCGCCTCCTTCCTCGGGACTCTTTTTAGATCTTTTTTTCTTAATCCTCCTCCTACTGGAATTTCGTGTAAATTGTGATTAACAGAAGGAAAAAAAAACCCGGACGCACCTGTTGAAGCGGTTGGATACCCCCGTAAAATAACGCTGTTGATGAGGTAAGAGAGAATATGTCTTTTTAACCTGGATATCCTCCTATGAAGGCGTCTTTGACCTTTATTCGTCATTCATTTCGTTTGGAAAGTTTTAACTTTGAAACATTGTTCTTTTTTAAAGTGGAATTCTCTGTTAAGCTGTCTTCCATGCGAAAAATACATAAGTTTGCCCCCCCCCCCCTAAAATGGCAAACTTTTGTGACTTTCGCATGGAATTTTTGCTTCGATTGAATTTTGCGTCTTTGGCATGGAATTTCGCGTCTTTTGCATAGAATTTTGCACCTGCTGTATGGAATTTTGCGTCTTTTGCATGGAATTTTGCACCTGTTGTATGGAATTTTGCGTCTTTTGCATAGAATTTTGTACCTGTTGTATGGAATTTTGCGTCTCTTGCATAGAATTTTGCGTCTCTTGCATAGAATTTTGCTTCTCGTATAGAATTTTGCTCCTTTTGTATGAATGTTTTCTTCTCTTGTATGCGATTCACCATCTCTTAAATTAAATTTTATGTCTTAAAAATGGAATATTGAGTTTTTTTGTATGGAATTTTGACCCAGTTTCTGTGTCTTTCATATGTAAAATTTTTACTTTAAAACATTAACTTCACAAAAATGCTTTCTCCTATTGCTCTCCACTATTGTTGTTAAAGTGTGGCAAGTTAAATTGTCTGTGAAAAAATGTTAAAAGTTCTGTAAGCTGTCTTCCATGCGAAAAACACAAGTTTGCCCACAATAAAGTGGGCAGACTTTTGTGACTCTCGCATGGAATTTTTATATTTCTATTGAATTTCACGCCTTTAGCATGAAATTTTGCATCGAATTTCGCATCTGTTGTATGGAATTTTGCGTCTTTTGCATAGAATTTTGCTTCTCTCGTATGGAATTTTGCGTGTTTTGTATGAATTTTTTCATTTCTTGTATGCGATTCACCATC